CGCAGATGGACAACATTTGTCCGAGACGTGAAAACTGCGTTTCTGCAGAGCCGGCCCACTGACCGTAAGAACCCCCTGGCATGCTCCCAACCACGTGACGAACCACTTCCAAATCTGGACCCGAGGCAATTGCTAGTACTGCTGACGGAAATCTACGGCCTGGTGAGCGGCCCCTCCTGGTGGCGCTCCACCTTTCTTCTGCGGACTACCAGGCTCGGCTACAAGGTTTGCCCCTTTGAACCGTGTGTGCTCACATTACCGGGGACCGAGCCAGCCTCAGCTACGCGAGGAGCCTTGGTAATAGAAGTGGACGACGTGGTTGAGTGTGGCGATGACCGTCATCGCGAATGCGTGTCCGAGCTGGAGAAGACGATCAAGTTCGGCAAGTCCATCAACGTGCAGGAGACAGAGACGATGTACGCGGGCCGGAGTCTGAAACAGTTGCCCGACTACTCCTTTGAGTTGCACATGGAGCAGTACGTGTACACCAGGCTGTCCCCGATCGTGCTCTCTCGCAAGGTGCTTAAGAAGGACGCGGCGTCGGTGGTGCTCAACGAGTCTGAGCAGACGCAGCTGAGGGGCGCCATCGCGGCGCTCTCCTGGGTGTCACGGGAGTGTCGACCGGATGCAGCAGCTGCATCCAGTGCGCTGGCCTCTTCTTTCCCGGACCCAACGGTGGAGACGCTGTATCAGGCCAATGACGTTATCCGACACCTCAAGCAGCACCCGGTGAAACTACGCATCCACGCCATTCCCGAGGCAGACGTCCGCAACATCCTCATCGCGGACTCGGCGTTTGACACGAGTGGCAAGGAAAGGTCCCAGCACGGCTTCCTTCTCGGCTTCACGGACAAGACGCTAAACGTGGGACATAGCGCTCCAGTGAGCCTCATTATGTGGCGGTCAAAGAGGTTGAGAAGGAAAGCCTCATCCTCCATGCTATGCGAGGCTCTGTCGATGTCTTCGGCAACCGCGGCTCTGGAGAAGCAAGATGCCTTGTGGGCCTCCCTTCGCGTTTCCAACTTCGACCTTCGAGAA